TTCCATCACCCCGCCCCATTCTCCCGCTTTCCATCACCCCGCCCCATTCTCCCGCTTTCCATCCCCATTCTCCCACTTTCCATCACCCCGCCCCATTCTCCCGCTTTCCATCACCCCACCCCATTCTCCCGCTTTCCATCACCCCGCACCATTCTTCCGCTTTCCATCACCCCGCCCATTTTCCTGCTTTCCATCACCCCGCCCCATTCTCCCGCTTTCCATCACCCCGCCCCATTCTCCCTCCTTCCATCACCCCGCCCCATTCTCCCGCTTTCCATCACCCCGCCCCATTCTCCCGCTTTCCATCACCCCGCCCCATTCTCCCGCTTTCCATCACCCCGCCCCATTATCCCGCTTTCCATCACCCCGCCCCATTCTCCCGCTTTCCATCACCCCGCCCCATTCTCCCGCTTTCCATCACCCCGCCCCATTCTCCCGCTTTCCATCACCCCGCCCCATTCTCCCGCTTTCCATCACCCCGCCCCATTCTCCCTCTTTCCATCTCCCCGCCCCATTCTCCCGCTTTCCATCACCCCGCCCCATTCTCCCGCTTTCCATCACCCCGCCCCATTCTCCCTCCTTCCATCACCCCGCCCCATTCTCCCGCTTTCCATCACCCCGCCCCATTCTCCCGCTTTCCATCACCCCGCCCCATTCTCCTGCTTTCCATCACCCCGCCCCATTCTCCCGCTTTCCATCACCCCGCCTCATTCTCCCGCTTTCCATCACCCCGCCCCATTCTCCAGCTTTCCATCACCCCGCCCCATTCTCCCGCTTTCCATCACTCCGCCCCATTCTCTCGCTTTCCATCACCCCCGCCCCATTCTCCCGCTTTCCATCACCCCGCCCCATTCTCCCACTTTCCATCACCCCGCCCCATTCTCCCGCTTTCAATCACCCCGCCCCATTTTCCCTCTTTCCACCACCCCGCCCCATTCTCCCGCTTTCCATCACCCCGCCCCATTCTTCCTCCTTCCATCACCCCGCCCCATTCTCCCGCTTTCCATCACCCCGCCCCATTCTCCAGCTTTCCATCACCCCGCCCCATTCTCCCGCTTTCCATCACTCCGCCCCATTCTCCCGCTTTCCATCACCCCGCCCCATTCTCCCGCTTTCCATCACCCCGCCCCATTCTCCCGCTTTCCATCACCCCGCCCCATTCTCCCTCCTTCCATCACCCCGCCCCATTCTCCCGCTTTCCATCACCCCGCCCCATTCTCCCGCTTTCCATCACCCCGCCCCATTCTCCCTCTTTCCATCACCCCTCTCCATTCTCCCGCGTTCCATTACTCCGTCCCATTCTCCCGCTTCCAATCACTCCGCCCCATTCTCCCGCTTTCCATCACCCCGCCCCATTCTCCCGCTTTCCATCACCCCGCCCCATTCTCCCTCTTTCCATCACCCCACCCCATTCTCCCGCGTTCCATCACCCCGCCCCATTCTCCCGCTTATCATCACCCCGCCCCATTCTCCCGCTTTCCATCACCCCGCCCCATTCTCCCGATTTCCATCACCCCGCCCCATTCTCCCTCTTTCCATCACCCCGCCCCATTCTCCCTCTTTCCATCACCCCGCCCCATTCTCCCGCTTTCCATCACCCCGCCCCATTCTTCCGCTTTCCATCACCTCGCCCCATTCTCCCACTTTCCATCACCCCGCCCCATTCTCCCGCTTTCCATCACCCCGCCTCATTCTCCCGCTTTCCATCACCCCGCCCCATTCTCCCGCTTTCCATCACCCCGCCCCATTCTCCCGCTTTCCATCACCCCGCCCCATTCTCCCGCTTTCCATCACCCCGCCCCATTCTCCCGCTTTCTATCACCCCGCCCCATCTCCCGCTTTCCATCACCCCGCCCCATTCTCCCGCTTTCCATCACCCCGCCCCATTCTCCCGCTTTCCATCACCCCACCCCATTCTCTCGCTTTCCATCACCCCGCCCCATTCTCCCGCTTTGCATCAGCCCGCCCCATTCTCCCGCTTTCCATCACCCCGCTCCATTCTCCTGTTTTCCAGCACCCCGCCCCATCCTCCCTCCTTCCATCACCCTGCCCCATTCTCCCGCTTTCCATCACCCCGCCCCATTCTCCCTCTTTCCATCACCCGCCCCATTCTCCCTCTTTCCATCACCCCGCCCCATTCTCACGCTTTCCATCACCCCGCCCCATTCTCCCGCTTTCCATCACCCCGCCCCATTCTCCTGCTTTCCATCACCCCGCCCCATTCTCCCGCTTTCCATCACCCCGCCCCAATCTCCCGGTTTCCATCACCCCGCCCCATTCTCCCGCTTTCCATCACCCCGCCTCATTCTCCCGCTTTCCATCACCCCGCCCCATTCTCCCGCTTTCCATCACCTCGCCCCATTCTCCCACTTTCCATCACCCCGCCCCATTCTCTCGCTTTCCATCACCCTGCCCCATTCTCCCGCTTTGCATCAGCCCGCCCCATTCTCCCGCTTTCCATCACCCCGCCCCATTCTCCTGCTTTCCAGCACCCCGCCCCATCCTCCCTCCTTCCATCACCCTGCCCCATTCTCCCGCTTTCCATCACCCCGCCCCATTCTCCCTCTTTCCATCACCCGCCCCATTCTTCCGCTTTCCATCACCCCGCCCCATTCTCCCACTTTCCATCACCCCGCCCCATTCTCCCGCTTTCCATCACCCCGCCCCATTCTCCCGCTTTCCATCACCCCGCCCCATTCTCCCGCTTTCCATCACCCCGCCCCATTCTCCCGCTTTCCATCACCCCGCCCCATTCTCCCCCCTTCTCTGTGTGGTCGACTATGTGCAAACCACACGGAATAAACTGGAATGACTTATCCCTAAGGTAGAAAATTGTATAATCTAGTGGACTAGTAAGGCGTGCACAAAATCCAATGCCGATGACCAATCAAACATAGCACTGGTAAGTTTGGACTGTATGAGCTCCCATAGTGAGCATGAGAGGCGGAGCCTACTAGGTCGATTACATGCAAACCAAACTGAATAAACTGGAATCATTTATTGATGAGGTAGAAAATAGTCTAATCTAGTGGACTAGTAAGGCGTGAACAAAATCCAATGCCGCGGACCAATCAAACTGGGCACTGTTAAGTTCGGTCAGTATGAGCATCCATAGTGAGCGTACCAGGCGCAGTCTGTGTGGTCGGTTACATGCAAACCACGTAGAATAAAATGGAATCACTTGTTGGTAAGGTAGAAAATAGTCTAATCTAGTGGACTAATAAGGCGTGAACAAAATCCAATGCCGAAGACCAATCAAACTGAGCACTGGTAAGATTGGTCAGTATGAGCACCCATAGTGAGCATGAGAGGCGGAGTCTGTGTGGTCGACTACGTGCAAACCACACGGAATAAACTGGAATCACTTGTTGCTAAGGTAGAAAATATTATAATCTAGTGGACTAGTAAGGCGTGAACAAAATCCAATGCTGCGGACCAATCAAACTGAGCACTGGTAAATTTGGTCAGTATGAGCAGCCATAGCGAGCGTGCGAGACGGAGTCTGTGTAGTCGATTACATGCAAACCACATGGAATAAACTGAAATCACTTGTTGCTAAGGTAGATAATAGTCTAATCTAGTGGACTAGTAAGGCGTGAACAAAATGCAATGCCGCGGACCAATAAAACTGAGCACTGAAAATTTTGGTCAGTATGAGCACCCATTGTGAGCGTCCGAGGCGGAGTTTATGAGGTCGATTATATGCAAACCACACGGAATAAACTGGAATGACTTGTTGCGTCCGAGGCGAATCACCAGCCCGCCACTCTTCCACTTCGCCGTCGCTCCCAACCGGCCGATTCCACCATTCGTCCTCGTCGATGTCTGCAGGAGCTACTTCATCCCCCGAAGCGCTGTCCTCGTGGCCGTTCTCCGACCAATCCTTGTCGCCGTCATCGCCGTGTTCTTCGTCGCCGTCGTTGCCGTGTCCTTCGTCGCCATCGTCCCCGTCACAGCTCGCATGGGAGGCGGCGGTAGATCTTCGAGCCTTGCGCGTATTCTTCGCCATGGCTACACGGATGTCATCACCGGGCGAGTTAATTCGCCCGTAGTTATTCACCTGCACGTGAGGGCGAGGTGAGGACGTGCCTGCGGGAACTTTGCTGCGCATGGTTACGGTAAGCCTACCGAGAGCAAAGGTTGAGTTGAGATCTCAACCTCCTTGAGCACCAAATGAAGCTCAAGCCCGACTACCCCCCTCAGCCACAGTGCCCCTTCCAAAGGTGCCGAGCCGCTCCTCTACGAGGAATCTCCTCGTAGAGGACAGCCCTTATGCTGCCATCGTGCTGCCAGCAGCGTTAGATGCTGGCAGCACCATTAGATGCTGCCAGCACGGAGGGATGTTGCCATAAGTGGCAGCTATGCTGCATCCCTCACGTGGCAAGTGGGGGCGCTGCATGCATCACCACCGAGGTCGCCCTAATTCGAAGGTATAATGGTGCAGGGGTGGTTTCTACACACTTTACAAGTGTTACAGAGCTCTTATATTGTTTTCCATTTATAAGACTTGTAAGACACCCTAAACTAAACCATCCCAAATACAAGATAACCCAAGCATTTTGCGTAGTGTACGAGATAAAACATATATGTCTACTATCCGGGCGATGACGGTACACATACAGTATACAGATGCCCACGCATAGCTGAACACCACATGTATTTACATGTACACGCACATTCACAACAATTGTATGGCACCAATTCATTTTCCTGTCTGCTGTGCAAACATGGGGCTCTGGTGGTCATGCATTCACTGTCCTCACCAACATACTACGGTAATTGGTGTTAGTCTTTCAGGCTGCTTCGATAGATGCTTTTGTCTCATTGGACAATGCTTCGCATAAATAATGTATAATACATTACACAGTAACACCTAGTTACTACTGGCCTTTGTATGGTGCACACAGCAGATGCACATATGAGTGCAAGTCGTGCCACCAAGTGGTGCCAGTGTCAACCCCTCCTCTGTGCGTGCGCCTGCAAGGCTGCAAGGCACCTCCTCACCGCGGCAGGTCCTCTGTGACAGGCACAGTCTGGCCCCTCTCTGACTTGGCATTCTCCGCGAACTGCACCCATGCAAGGGCAGGGCAGGGCAGGGCAGGGGAGGGGAGGGGAGACGGGCAAGCCACACCAGCACACAGAGTTGAGGCAGAGTGAGGTGAGGGACAGAAAGCGTGTGCGGGCAACAAACAGTGCAGAGACACAACACCAGCCTGCTTTTTCTGCACGAGCGCAGCAGCGGATGACTGAGAGCAGGGAGGAACTGACCTTGAGTCCGCTGGAGTGCATGTCCTTGGCCTGCTCCTTCTCCGAATACTCCCCCGCGTAGTACGCCTCCTCTGTGGCGGATGGCTTTGACGAGGGGGCCGTGAGCATGGAGCCCCACTGGGGGAAGTACACGGCCACCACGGGCAGCGTGCAGCAGATGATCATGACGCCCATGTAGGTCAGCCCCTGCTCCGTGCTGTACGCGCCCTTGAAGAAGATGGCCTGCGTGATGGCCGACCCCACGTTGCCGCCCGCCCCCGTGAACCCCGACACGATGCCCAGCGCGCGGTGAGAGACAAACGGGATGATGCCGAAGGTGGCGCCGCAGGCAGCTTGGCAGAAGTAGGAGAAGATGAGCATCACCAGCGTGGACGACCACAGCGAGTTCATGTACCCCAGCGTCAGACAAAACACGCCGCCAAGCGTCTGCAGCAGCCACAGGTTCCAGAGCCGCCCGCGCATGCCGAACCAGCGGGCGGCGACGTCAGAGAGAATCCCACCACTGGGGCGCGAGAAGATGTTCATGAGGCCAAAGGACGCGGCGATGAGCCCGGCGGTGTTGAGGTTGAGGTTGAAGCGGTCGTAGTAGTACTCGGCGATCACGTTATCGACAGTCAGCTCCACACCGAAGCAGTAGCCGTACGTGAGCACGAAGACCCACGTGCGGTAGTTGGTGACGGCCGTCTTGAGCACCTTGAGCGGCTGGTCCATCTTGCGCACGCCCTTGCTCGCCAGGTCCAGGTACTGCCCGTCGGGGCAGTCCTGCCCCAGCACCAGCACGAGCAGCCCCATGAAGGTCTGCGCGGTGGCGGGCACGAAGAAGGAGAGGCGCCAGGCGGTGAAGGCGGGCACGTGGATGGCGTCCGTGATGAGCGAGTAGAGCAGCGGCATGATCAGCTGGATCGCGCCCCCGCCCAGATTGCCCCACCCCGCCGCCGTGCCGTTGGCCAGCCCCACGATGCGCGAGTTGAACATGGACGACATCCAGTACTGCGCGCGCCAGGGGGGGGATGGGGAAGGGGGGGCGAGGGGAGTGGGGGAGGACGGGGCAAGGAATGCAGCGAGGTGAGGCAGGGCGGTGGAGAGGAAGCGGGCCGAATAAAGGGATAAGCATAGGAGCACACGAGAAGCACACGCGGCTCGTACCTGGCAGGAGACGAAGGTGGCTCGAGACGCACCTGGCAGGAGACGAAGGTGGCTCGAGACGCACCTGGCAGGAGACGAAGGTGGCTCGAGACGCACCTGGCAGGAGACGAAGGTGGCTCGAGACGCACCTGGCAGGAGACGAAGGTGGCGAGCACGAAGCCGATGAAGAAGCGGCACGTGATGAAGCCGGCAGCGCTGGTGACGGCCGCCATGCCCGCCACACACGGCACCGTCGCGATCAGCAGAAACGACGTGCCGTAGCGCGGCCCCACCAGGTCGCACACCGTGCCTGCGCAACCACAAGAACGCATGCAAAGGGGAGAGCGGGAGGAAGGGTGGGGGAAAATGCGGAAGGCAGAATAAACGGGACGTGGTGGCATGGGAGGGGCGCGTGGGCCCGAGCAATGGATGTGCGGTGGAGTGGTAGAGAGACGGAGAGTAAGGGGAGAGAGGAGGGGAACGAGGGGGAGCGGAATGAAGCGGGAAGCATCGTAGTGGCAGAAGCAGCAGCTAAGGACGTACCCATGACGAGACGGCTGACGACGGCGCCAACGACAGTGGCGATACCGGCGTTGGCGATCTCGGCCTTGGTGAGGTCGAGGTTGTCGCGAATCACCGGCAGTAGTGGCGGCGCTGGCGCACGGACGGCGGGGAGAGGAGAGGGCAGGGTGGGACGAAATCATCACCACGCGGAATGAGGCACGATGCACAAGGGGGCGGGGGGGAGGGTAGCAAGGAAGGAGTGCAGGGTGGTCATGTCAAGATGGTGCGATGGTGAGGATGCGAGGGCTCGAGGGATTGGCGGGTTTACCGGCGAAGGCGGAGCAGAAGGAGAGGAAGAAGGCGATCCAAGAGAGGTGGAATGCGCGCATGTGCGGCCGCGACGCGCTGCTCGGGGGGGGATGCAGGAGGACAGGGCAGGGCAAGGAGAGGATACGGTTGCGTTGAGTGAACGGAACAAGGGCAGCAGGCCCAATTGCGCCAGGGAGGGAGAGGACGAGGGGAAAGGGCCCGGCAAGGAGGGGACACGAAATGGCGAACGGAGAAAAATAGGGTACGGCCCGCGCGGTTGCGCGGAGGAAAGCGCAGAGGCGGCAGGAGAGAGGACTCCGCGGTGGAGAGCCGCGGATAAGAGCGGGAGGCGGAGAAGCGGAGGAGGCGCATCTCGGACTGCGACGGCACATCACGACGCGGAGTCAACAGCTGCGAGGGTGGATGCGTGGCGCACCTGAAGATTTTGAACTGCTTGGCCTTGTGCTCCGAGTCCACGGGCAGCGCGAAGAGCGCGCCGCCCTCGTCCAGCCCCACGTCGCGCGAGAAGATGGGCTCGCGGCCCGTCACGCCGCGCATCGACTCGCCGGGCGCGCCCACCGCATCGTGCCCCACCGCCGCTGTCGACACGTCAGCCATGGCTGCGTCGCTTGCTGCTCGGCGTGTATTACGCAAACTACCCTGCTTCTGCTGCTTGGCGCGCAGTGACTGAGTTCGCGTCCCAGCAGTTGCGTCGGAGAGTTCGAGTGTGAGGGTCGGAGAGGCGTCTGGCTCGTCGACTCACGGATTTCGCTTGTGTTGGCCTCGTTGGTCAACAGCAAGCACAGTCGCGCTGCTTCGTACGACCACGCGGGAAGACTGTTGTTAGTCGCTAGAGAAGAGCTTAGCTTGGCACAGTAGAATGTCGGCAGACACTTGAATAAAACCTTCATCCTAACTCGCATTTATCGTCACTCGGCCATCGCAGACACTCGCACGTGACGCTGTGCCATTCTCGACTCGACAATCACTTTTGCTCGCAAATGCCTCCTCCACTCCACCCTGTCCCTGCCGCCTTCGCCGCCCATCACGTGCTCCGTCCCCGTCACTGCTGATGTCACACGTGGCACTGATTATCCAATCAGGAGCCTGCGGACGATGGCGACAATGCAACATGTGGTCGATCTGAGGAGACCTGGCCATCGCGGAAAGCAGGGGACGAGCAGGTGACGCGCGAGGAGTCGAGGATGAGTGGGCGAGCGGGGAGAGAGGCGTCGCTCACTCGACGGGGATTTGCAGGGCAAATGCACGGAGAGGGCGGATCGCAGGCGAGGTGGGCGACAGGGACGCAGATGGGTGGTTGCGGATCGCCGATGCGATCCAATGGCGCTCAAGGGCAGTACCTCCCGGCGGCTCGCGGGTCCAGGGACACGGCTGCTGCTGGGACGCGGGTGGGGGCAATTGAGCACCTGCAGCTGGCTCGGAATGCCCTGGGGGGGTGAGACTGGCTTTTGTTGAATCACGAAAGGCGGAGCCAGATACCTCTGCAGCCAATCGGTTGTGCGAGATTAGGTGCCCTTTCAGGAAAGTGGTGAGGGGAGGTCCTTCGCCTCACCAGCACAGGTATACCCACGTGGCAGGAATTTCAAACGTGATTGGATCCAAACACAATTCGATCAGCGATCCAGATTCGTAAAGGCCAGGCTCGCACCTGAACAGCTGGGAGGGCATAGAGAATGAAGGAAACACTCGCAATCAATGAAGTATTCATTTCTTTATTGTCTCGAGGTTCAACAATGCAATTCCCTGTTGACTTCAGTAATCCTCCTCTCTGCTCCCCTTGGCACATCTCAGCTCAACTAGCTCCACTCCACCCAATTTCAAGTGTAAAGGTACAGAAATATCTACTCACTTTTAGCCAACCTTGATTCTGCACTTCCATCATCCATACCAAGCCATTTGGCGCACATCCCACTTGAATCATTCAGGGTCACCAATTCAACAGTATCGTCATCAGCAGTCTTAAGGAGCTGCAGGGTGAGAGCATTTGCACTTGGTGTAAAGAAAGAGCTCCACAGGAGCAAGGGAACACGAGAAAGGATGAATTCAACGCACTAGCTCCACATCACAGGAGTTGCATTTGTGCCTCAAGGTCAGCAGAGGGACCTCAGAGTGGTGAGGGCGGTCGGTGGGGCTGTGTGCGCAGGGAGGCATAGCGGGGAGAGAGTCGGGGGCGCGGGCAGAAGGATGAGGGCGAGGAGGGCAGGCGCGGGGGAGGAGCGGAGCGCAGGGGGGAGGAAGAGAGGTGCGTGTGCAGCGAGGGGAGTGGGGGGGCGTGCCATGCATGGGGGGGGGATGCAGCGAGAGGAGGTGATGCAGTGAGAGGGGGACGTGGGCTGAGGGAGGGGGGGGAGGGACGGCGCCCATAGGCTGGAGGCGGGGAGAGGGGGGGGGGAGGGGGATGGCAAGTGCAGATGCTGATGATAGTGTGACGTCAGCATGACCTCATGGTCTGCACTGCTGTCAAAAAACAGTTGCTCCTTGCCCTCTTCTTCCCCCTCCTCATCCTCCTGCTCCTCTTGCTCCTCCCCCTCCCCCTCCTCCTCCTCCTCCCCCTCCTCATCCTCCTCCTCATCATAGTACTCTTCACATTCTTCTTCCTCCTCATCCACATCCTCCTCGTCTTGCTCCTCATCTCCCTCGCCCTCCTCCCACTCCTCCTGCCCCTCTCCTCCATCCGACCCATCCACTTGCCACTCCCTCCCCACGTCATCCCCCTCAATCTCCTCCTCCCCTTCCCCCTCCTCCGCCTGCTCCTCATGCTGCTCCTCATGCTGCTCCTCATGCTGCTCCTCATGCTGCTCCTCATGCTGCTCCTCATGCTGCTCCTCATGCTGCTCCTCATGCTGCTCCTCATGCTGCTCCTCATGCTGCTCCTCATGCTGCTCCTCATGCTGCTCCTCATGCTGCTCCTCATGCTGCTCCTCATGCTGCTCCTCATGCTGCTCCTCATGCTGCTCCTCATGCTGCTCCTCATGCTGCTCCTCATGCTGCTCCTCATGCTGCTCCTCATGCTGCTCCTCATGCTGCTCCTCATGCTGCTCCTCATGCTGCTCCTCATGCTGCTCCTCATGCTGCTCCTCATGCTGCTCCTCATGCTGCTCCTCATGCTGCTCCTCATGCTGCTCCTCATGCTGCTCCTCATGCTGCTCCTCCCCTCCTCCCATACCCCACGCGGCCATACTCGTTCCGCCCTCCTCCCACTCCCACCCACCACTGTCTCCTCCCTCACTCATCCATCGCGCCATTGTCGTTCCACCCCCCTCCTCCGCGCTCTCCACGCCCCCCACCCCCGCCCCCTCGCCCCCGCTCATCTGCTCATTCTGCATTGCCTGCCACCCCCCATCCTCCTGCCCCTGCTCCTCTCCCCCCTGCGCCCTGCCCCCAGCCCGTCCGCCCGCCCACCTCTGGCCTGCGCCCTCCGCCCCGGCCTGTCGCCACCACGCACTGCCCTCCTCGCTGCTCTGCTGCTGCGCCTCCCACGGACTTCCCCACTCGCTCACGCTGCTCTCCATGCCTCCTCTGCTGCCCCCTCGCCTCTCCGTTCCCCCTGTGACGTCCGCCCATGCATGCCTCTGCCCCGCGCCACCCCACAACCCGAGCCCCGCTTGCCTGCCCGTCCGCGGACTCACTCTCTGCGCCTCCCGCCCCTCCCGCCCCTGCTGCCCCTGCTGCCCCTGCAGCTGCGCCCGCTGCGCCAAGCCACCAGTAGGGGCTGCTGCTCCCGCGGGAGCCTCTGGCGCGGCGAGAGCAGGGGAGGCGAGGCGCGCGGGGGAGGCGTGGCGGTGGTGGCGCAGGGCGGCGGGGGACATCACACGGGCGCCCCTGGACCAGCCCTGCCCGCCCCACCACTGCACGTCCATCCCCTGCTCCCTCTCTGTCTCGCTCTCCCGCTCGCTACCCCTCACACTCTCCCTCTCACTCTCCCTCACACTGTCCCTCTCACTCTCCCTCTCGCTATCCCTCTCACTCCCCCTTTCCCCCTCCCTTCCCCAATTCCGGATCACCTCTCGTCGCATCTCCCTTTCCCACTCCCTCTCCTCCCTCACGCCCCTCTCGCGCCCTCCCCTCAGCCCCCACCCCGCACCTCCCAACCCGCCCCTCCCCCACCCGCCACCCGCGCCACTCCCACCCGCGTCCCCTCCTATCCCCCATCCCCACCGCGTGCGCTCCTCCCACTCCGCCCCTCTCCCCGCGCGCCCCGCCTCGCGAGGAAGCGAGCTGCGCGCGCTGCTGGCGGCGCCCAGGCTGACCAGGCTGGTCAGGGTGCCGATGCTGTTCCTGTTGAGGGCGCGCGCTGCCACTGACTGCCCCAACACTCCCCGCACTCCCAGTCCCCCGCGCTCCCGCTCCCTTTCCCGTTCCCTCTCCCTCACCCTCTCCCACGCCCGTTCCCTCCACTCTTCTCGCTCCCTCTCCCTCTCTCTCTCCCTCTCCCGCTCCCGCTCCGTCCACTCCCACCGGAACCCCACGCTCTCCCTTTCGCTATCTCCGCCTTCCCACCCGCTGCCGCCCCCCTCCTCCCCGCTCACTCCGCCGCTCCACCCCCCGCGGCCCCTCTCCCCGCTCTCCGTGCTGTCCCACCCATCGCCGCCCCCGTCCCTGCTCTCCCCGCCGCCCCACTCCCCCCCGCCGCGCTCCCCGCCCTCCCACTGCATCTCGTGCCACTCAACGTCGCCGCGCTCCCCCTCGCCTCCCCCTGCTGCGCCGCCGCCACCAGCTTCCGCTCCCCCGCCCGCGCCGGTTCCCCCTGCTTCTTCCGCCCCCCGCCCCTGCCCCTGCTGCGGCGCGTCCTGCGCGTCGGCGGTGGGCAGTTCGTAGCGGCAGACGGGGCACGTGTTGTGGCGCTGCAGCCACGGCAGGATGCAATCGGAGTGGTACACGTGGCGGCACGGCATTTGCCGCGTGACGGCGCCCGCCTCGTAGTCGTCCTTGCAGATCGCGCACGGGTCCATCAGCCCGCCGCCCTCCCCGTGCTCGCCCTCGCCCGCCGCCTCCCGCTGCGCCACGTCAGCAGCGGTCACCACGCGCACCAGCATCGCCTCGACGGCCGCCGGGCAGGCGGGCGGGTTGCGCGTGCTGCCGAACGAAGGGGGAAGAGATGGGGGGAGGAGGGGAGAAAAGGAGGGGAGGTGCGCGCACAGAGGCAGATCGCGGTAAGCCACTGGGATTTTGCAAAAGTTTGTAGTAACCTAATCATCGCACGGCACGACTGACGCACTCACCCCCTTTCCCGTGCCTCGCCCGCACCTGACGGCGTCGTCAGCGGAAATCCTCTCGACGAGCGCGTCGAAGTCGTCCCCGAAGAAGTAATCCCCCACCGCGCCCGCTATGCCGCCCGCCGCGCCGCCCGCAACGGCGCCGCCCAGCAGCTGCCCGCCGACGATGGCGTTGAGCGACTCGAGGCGCGCCAGCAGGCGCCGCAACTGGCGGGAGGGGAGAGAGAGGCGAGCAGGACGATGGGGGCGGGGGCACAGCAAACGGCGGCATGAGGAACAGAGAGCACATACGGCGAGACAAGCGTCATGGCACCCCTTCCCAGTTCGCTCGCGCACCCAACAAGCCGCCCCACCGCTTGTGTCATGGTAAGGTATGGTACCGTGTGTGTCATCGTACCGTGTGTTCGCGGTTCATGCGTCGCTCCATGAACTCCAGGATCGGCGACGCCTCCGCCTCGCTCCGCACGCCCAGCAGCGACGCCGCCACCCCGCCCCCCGCGTCCTCCGCCCCTCCGAACCGCCGGGCCCGCGCGCCCCCCACCCGCGCCGACGCCGCTCCCCCTGCCCTTCCCGTCAGTCCCCCTCTGCCGTACGCAGCTGGTTCCCTACTGGCCACGTCAGCGTGGTCAACGCGGTCGTCCATGTCTCGCAGCATCCTCGCCAGCCCCAGATACGCGCCCTCCAGCCTCCGCGCCGCGCCGTGCCGCTCGCCGCCCTCCTCCGCCTCGCCGCTCGCTCCAGCCGCAGCGGAAGCGGCGGCCGCGGAAGAACCACCACTGGCGGCGCCGCCGCCGCCACCGCTGCCACTACGGCTAACGCCAGCGGCGGCATGCGCAGCGCGGCCGTCATCATCGGCGGGCCGCACGCCCCACCCGCTGGACTCTCGGAACGCTGCTTCGCCGGCAGACGGGCCTGGGGACCTGACGTCAGCACCCACGCCGACGTGCCGCCGGCGAACGAATCCGCGGAAGGGCCGCTCGGGGCGGAGCGACGCGACGGCGGCGACCCTGGCGGTCTCGCCTGCACTGACATCCGCATCGCCCGCGCTCTCGCCGTCCCACGCGAACGGGCTCTCACGCGCCTCCCTCGCGAACCCGCTCGCCGCGCCGGCATGCGCGCTGCCGGCATGCGCGTTGCTGGCATGTGCGTTGCCCGTATACTCCTCCGCTAGGTCAATCACGGGCGCGGGAGTAGCAGCGGCACCGCGCGCGTGGTCGGATCCGCGGTGGCTCCATCTGTGGTGGCCGCCGTGCTCCCCGCCGTCGATGTCGCTGCCAGCTGTCAACTCCTCCACGAATCCGCCGCCGCACCACGCGCAGATGACCTCCGCTGCTTCTGCATCGTTCGAAGGAGCTGTTAACGACCGCACCGTGGCGCACTGATGACACCAGAACGGACGAGATGGCATGGTCTACACGTATAGCATGAATCTAAGCTGCTTCCTCGGCGTGCACGTTAGACGCTGTCGTACGCAGGATGAGTGGGACAGCACGCTGCTGAACGAATTCCAGAGAAACAGAAAAAGCTGAAGCGAAGGTGGGAAAATTGCTTACGCCACACGGCAGCAGAAGACAAGAGGTGATTGAAAGAAAAGAATGCTAGGCAATGTTTCCTCAAGCCTAACATTGCCTAGGCTAACCATCACGCGCTTCCTACTCACAAGAAAGCCTGCTTCGAACTGCGATTCTGTGAAGAGAAGCAGGAATTACAGGCAGGTGAACCTGTTGCCCTCAGCTGGCAATACGGTAGGGAGCTGGGGGCCTGTGACGCAGGAGGAGCCATATTTTACTTGTCTAGGGTTGACTTTTGTAAGGTGCGTTCTGGTGAGCAGTGGTGTAGCCGGTGGAAACCGGAAGCACTATAATCAGAAATCAACCCAGAATGAACCGCACAATAATCAGAAAATACATGAGCAGAGAGGAGGAAGAGTGTCGAGAAGAGTATGTACTGTACGGTTTGGGAAGGTCATGGTTGTGCGGCATGTGCGTGACGCATGGCGTGGTTGGGAAGGTTGGTTGGAACACGAAGCTGTCATTCGCTGTGCTCAGGCCAGTCTACCCTGTCGCTGGACAGGCAGGCTCGGAGCGACGACAGTAAGTACGGGAACGGGAAATGCCGGACCAGATTTCTAGTAGGTGGTGGGAGAGAGCAAGCGCCGAAGCATGTTCTCCAAAGCCCAGAGCGGTGAGATTTGCGCCCGGTACCCGAGCCAGGTACCGAAGCTCCGAAACGCGAACAGCCGAGGGCACATGCTGTACAAGCCCAAGGCCTGACAGTCCTCATGCGCTGTAAACAGTTCCTATGCAGTGCACAGAAACGAGACACCACTGAGCTTCGTATAGTTGCAGTCACGGATTAGCACACCACAAAGGCAAAAGAACGAGAGATATGCCATCGGGTCCATTAATTTGACATTCATCGCCTAATACAAATTCTATTGAAACATAATGTTTAATAACCGATACATGAAGTGAACATGTGAGAGTATAGAACAGGAAGAAGTCGAAATAGTTAGGTGGTTGATTGCCAGTACGTAATCTGAAAAGGTGAAAGCAGTCAAAGATCTAAGTGAATCGGTGCTAACTATATGGGATCCCGCTTGATGGTGGATGACCACCAGAGAGTGCGCATTGCCTATGACTCACGTTCGCGATGCACATTGTAACCCGAGCGAGCTCGAACCGTTCACCCCGTCGCACACGGCCTCCCGTCCCCCTCATCGCTCCCATACCGCCTGCCCCTGCCTTCGATGGCTCCCCAGCCCTCCAGCAGCAGCGGCCCAACAAAGCTCTTCTGCTGTGCTTCTCTCCGCCCTTTCTCTCCCCTCCCTAGTTTCTGGTTGCTCTACTCTAGACACCCACACGGCCCGACATGGTACGCGCTTCCAGCTTTTAATTGATTGGCCGTGTACATTTTCTCGGTGTTTCTCATCTTCACACTAGTCCAACATATCACTTTAGCGGACGTAATGCAAGAATCTTCATGCGTTCCCCGTTTTTTTGTAATAGTTGCAAACCCTAGCTGCTGATGACGTCTCTAACCAGCGGGCGTACCGTCGTGCCGTCCTCTTGCCGTGGTGCAGGCGATTGATCTCAAGGCCGGCGGGCGGAACAAGAAGACCCACAGGACGGCCCCCAAGAGCCGGAATCCCTACCTCCTCCTCCTCGTCAAGGTCAGTCGCGCACCGCCCGTGCGTGTGAATGGCAGCCGCTTGTGATCGTTGCAGGATAGTCCATTCCGTTTGGGAGGCGCTGTGTTGCGACGGCACGGGATTTACACCTTTAGGGCCAGGGGGAGAATAGGCTGTCGCCAAGGGATTGCCACGTGCCGTCGATGCACCCAGGGAAGCATGGGATCCATTCAGATCGACGGAGGGAAGGCCGTAGCGAGGGTTCAGAAACGGCGGGACTGGCAGCACTTTAGGGTTCCATCGGGCAGCCGACATCTCGGTAGGCTGTAGCGCTGGCGCTATTCCCGCATTGCGCCACTGGGACTCATGCTGTCTAGCAACGGTTCCAGGCGCCTAGGTGTGGGTATTAGCGAGTGGTGTGTTCTGCGCGGCGTGTAGAACAGTGGTCCGCTGGTGGAATTCACATTCGCCAGGGCGCTACCGCAGCGGGTTGCTCGCCACGCGCTGTAGAGAACTCGACATTAGCGTGCTGGTCTCCGCAGTGCCATTGCCTTGCCCCTGTGAACCGCCTAATATAGCCGTCCCAGTACCTCTTTAGAAACACTAGGGCAATAGTCTCGCATGGTCGTCTTACTCGGCCCTCGCAGCTCACCTCTATTCCGGCACCTGTCGACCCACCCACCCCGCTCTCGCACTCGTTCGTTTACGCGCCCGCGAACATTCACTCACGCACGTATGGTCACTATTAGCCACCCTTTCAAGCTCTCAGCTCCTTTTCCTTTCTGTTCGTATCCGCGCACCCGTCTCTTCCGCCCGCCCCCTCCCTCCCACCCCCCCTATCCGCTGCCTCCCTCCCCCTGCTTGCTCCCCCCCGCTCCCCTTCGCTGCCACTCCCCCCCCCCCCCCCCCGCGCGGGCAGATCTACCGCTTCCTGGCGCGGCGCACGGGCAGCCCGTTCAACAAGGTGGTGCTGCGCCGCCTCTTCATGAGCCGCACCAACCGCCCGCCCGTCGCGCTCTCGCGCGTCCTCGAATACGGCGAGAACAAGGTCCGCGCCGTGGGGGGGCTAAGGGACGGGGAAGGTTGGAGTAGAATTCGGGGGAGATGGGGGGCCGGGGTGTAAGGGGAAACGGGAATGAATTTAGAGGGAATGATCGGGCAGCGAGTGCCACAGCACGGTCCTTCCATCGGAACCGTCACAAGCGTCTTCACTTGCAACCCATTGTACCGCGTTCCTCCGTGGTCCCATCCCACTTAATCACCTCTCGTCCCACCTCGCCCCGTACTGACTGCCTCTCGCTTTTCTCGCCCTCTCGGCCCCTCACTATTCCACTATCGCCCTCTCCCATTTCACTCTTCCATCCTCTCCCCTCCACTTCCCAAACACCCCTCCCCTCCCGTCCCCCACGGTACTCCGCTGGTGCGCGCGCGTAGGGCGCGGAGGCGGTGGTGACGGTGGTGGGCAAGGTGACGGACGACAAGCGCCTCTACGCCGTGCGCGAGGGCGTCAAGGTCTGCGCCCTGGCCTTCTCCGCCACTGCGCGCGCGCGCATCGAGAAGGCGGGCGGCGAGTGCCTCTCCTTCGACCAGCTCGCGCTGCAGCGGCCCACCGGCAACAACTGCGTATGCCCTCCGCAACCCCCGCCTGTCGCCCTTTTTTCCTCAACCTTCCCGCCACCTCTCCTTCTCGTAGTTTCTACAGGCGTTCCTTCAATCTCTGCGTGCCCCTGACCTTGGTTTTTTCCACTCTGTTCCCGTTTTCCCCTGTCTCTCCGCGTACCTGCGCGCATCGTGCGCGCAGCTGCTGCTCCGCGGCAAGGTGACGAGCCGCGAGGCGTTCAAGCACTTCGGCCCCGCGCCCGGTGTGCCCCACAGCAACACCAGGCAAGTGCTCCTCCTGTTTCCATGCTGCCTCCCCGCCATGCCCGTGTGTCCCCGCCATGCCCGTGTGTCGCCTCCGTCCCCGCCGCACCTGCTTCCCATTCGCTCTCCCTCTCGCTCTCCACCCTGGATCCCTCGTGCATTGCGAACCACCCGAACCTTACTGGACCGCCACGATCCGTTAACTAGGAGCTGTCGGCTGTGTGCCGTGGGGTAGAGGGACCGTTGGTCGTGCGTGTGTGAGCTGTGGGGCGAGGCGTGTGCGCGCGACAGGAGGGAGCCGAAGGCGCTTGGGTGGGCGACTAGGCGGCAGGCAGTAGGAGCAGAGGGCAGGGGCTTCGAGCGCAGCGGGGTGGGGACGCATGGGAATCAGGGCGGAGGATATTTAGAGCGCAGAGAGTGGGAGCGCAGGGAGTGGGAGCGCAGGGCGGAGTGGGAGCAAAGAAGCAGCACATAAGGATTTTCGTTGCAGCGATTTATGCAGGGAGGGGGAGCAGCAGACGCAGTAGCAGCAGAAGCAGAAGCAGCAGCAGCAACAGGAGAAACAGAATCAGCTGGCAGCAAAAGGAGAAGCAACAGCAGCAACAGGAGAAGCAGAAACAGCAGCAGAAGCACCAGCAGCAGCAGCATAGTAGAGGCAGAAACAACAGCAGTAACAGCAGAAACAGATGCAGCAGCAGCAGCAGCAGCGGCACAGAATAATGCAGGCCACAAAGACGCTCGTCCCGCCCTTCCCTTCCACATCGTCGCCCTCCGCTCCCACCCTTCCCTGTTGTGTTGTCACCATGCCACCCCTCTCACCATGCCACCCCTCTCACCATGGCACCCCTCTCACCATGCCACCCCTCTCACCATGCCACCCCTCTCACCATGCCACCCCTCTCACCATGCCACCCCTCTCACCATGCCACCCCTCTCACCATGGCACCCCTCTCACCATGGCACCCCTCTCACCATGGCACCCCTCTCACCATGGCACCCCTCTCACCATGGCACCCCTCTCACCATGGCACCCCTCTCACCATGGCACCCCTCTCACCCTGTCTCACCTTCTCCTCTTCCTTCCCTTTTCCGTCTGTCCCCTCCCACCGCCTCCCCTCTCCCTCTCTGCAGGCCATATGTGCGCAGCCAGGGCCGCAAGCGGGAAATGGCTCGTGGTCGCAGGAACAGCCGCGGCTTCAAGGTGTAATCTGCGATTTGGTACAATTCAGCTGGTTATTGTGGAGCTGGTTACGGTGAAGTGCGGTACAGTTGCTCTCATTGCACATGCTGTTGCACGGACGGATGCAGGCACAGGTGCAGCAGTAGTGTGGCTGCATGGCTGGGTGTAGGGTGCAGGCAAGAGCAGGCAGGGAGGCAGGATTGGCAGGCAGAGAGCATCACATTGTGCTGCTATAGAGTAGGTACCAAATTCCGTTTGTGTTTTGCATGTGAGTGTACCTGTGCTGTAAAGCTGGGCTTCGGCTATGCCTGTGCCAAGAATTCATGTAACAAAGGTTTCACTGCTGCTAGGTTGAGGCAAGTGGGAACATGACTGCTGGCTAACAAAAGAATGTAAGAGCGTGGCTGACATAAGACAAATACTGAATCACTCACTGTACAATTTGTGGAATACCAAGCGCTGCAGCCAGCCTAGGGCATTCCTTCCGAATTCCTCTCCCAGTGGACGACCTGATGCCTGCACGCAAGACCTCCAAACGCAATTCCTAGGAGAAAATAGGCCGAGGTATAGTCGCGACTTTTTTGGCTGCGAAGCGCCATAGCTCTCCCATGGTTGCGACAGCCCTCCGTGTTACACCGCCATGCTCTGCGCTGAAGACAGCGTCGCACCGTCGAGGCAGTTCAGCGGCACCGAACCTCGCTCCTCGCAACCGTCTCGTTGAATTCGCCTCTGTGCACCTCGGTCGACCATCGGCAAGCCACGCCGCGAGGCCACAGTCGAGCGCATCAGGCGCGCCGCTCACTCGTTCTGCTTGCGTGCCGCGGGCCATGGGTGGAACGAACGACTTGACGGCAAGCGACGCGGCGAAAGGCCAGGAAAGCCGGCAGCGCACCCGGACTCGTCGGTTCGCCATCCTGCTGGCCGGCCACAGCAGGTGCCTTGAGAGCCGCGACCCTCGAATCCGACTGGAGCCATTTTTTACAGGCCTTTGTTCCCAGTGCACGTGGCGGTGCGTTCCACCGTTGGTGCATGCAGCGCGCCATGCCGTTGGAATTGAGCTCCACCGTTCTCGTCGTCACGTTACTTTCCTTCCCCGTCGTCCTCAGTGCCTCGCCCTTTTTCCTCCGTGTCTCCCCCGTCTCTCCTCCGTCTCTCCCCCGTCTCTCCTCCGTCTCTCCTCCGTCTCTCCTCCGTCTCTCCTCCATCTCTCCTCCGTCCCTCCCCCCACCCGCCCTCAACCGCGCGGCAGTCCGTACTCACAGCAGCGGTACGGCGACTACAGCGGCATGTTCCTCTCGCTGCTCAGGGATGGCGGACACGCTCAGGGGGAGAAGGCGGCAGGGGAAGGGGAAGCGGGGGAGCGGTGGGACGTGTTCTCCGTGGTGGACGGGCAGTTCCCCTCCGCGCAGGACCTGGAGGAGGTGAGCGTACAGAGGGTTGTTGTTGTGCTGATCGGTCGGTGTGCGTACAGGCTGGATCACGGGTGCACGCATGTGTGATTCCTGTACAAGTTGTGAATCCTGCACCATGTATCCGCCAACATGCACCATGTATCACGGATCCTTCGTAATGGGTTACACATGCATGCATCCCATGCATCATGCATTTGCTCTACTCCCCTGCACTATGCATGTGCACGCATGGCATGGGGCACACATGGGGCACACATGGCATGGGCCACACATGGCATGCTGTGCGGGCGGGCAGGTGGAGGCGGTGGTGGTGACGGGCAGCAAGCACGACGCGCATGCGGACGACCCGTGGATCCTACAGCTCTGCGCCCTGCTGCAGCAATTACACCGCCGCCACACCAAGATCCTGGGCGTCTGCTTCGGCCACCAGGTGCTTCACTTGGAAAATGACACCAATTGTTACCGTTTCCCATCCCCATGTGCCCATCCCCATGTGCCCCAATCCCATGTGCCCATCCCCATGTGCCCATCCCCATGTGCCCCAATCCCATGTGCCCATCCCCATGTGCCCATCCCCATGTGCCCCAATCCCATGTGCCCATCCCCATGTGCCCATCCCCATGTGCCCCAATCCCATGTGCCCATCCCCATGTGCCCATCCCCATGTGTCCATCCCCATGTGCCCATCCCCATGTGCCCTTCTTCTATGCACCTGCCGCATGCCTCGCCCATGCCTCTCACCACCATCCCTGCATTCTTCTCATCATGTGCCCCACCCTCCCCGCATCCCCCTCATGACCTGACCCCCCTCCCATGAGCGCCATGCAGGTGGTGGGGAGGGCGCTAGGGGGGCGCACAGGGCGGGCAGCGGCGGGGTGGGAGCTGGGGATCAAGCCCGTGCACTGCACTGCTGACGTGGCATCGCTGCCATATGCTGCCGGCCTGCCATCGTCCTTCAAGATTCTGGAGATCCATCAGGATCAGGTGAATTCCGTTTTGCATTCACTCGGGGAAATGTGACAAGGAAGAAGTTTTCAAGTTACTTGTTGGCCTGTGCTGTTATTAGGCTTCGCTTGTATGCCGCGACCGCCACAACCAGCACAATAGATCTGTTTCCTTCTCCCCCTGCAGGTGTTGGAGTTGCCTCCCGAAGCTGTTCTCCTGGGATCGTCACCGCGCACGCCCATTGAGATGTTTGCTATAGGGGAGCATGTGGTGCATGCAGGGACACCCCGAGTTCACTAAAGACGTAGTGGAGGACCTTGTAGTGAATCGAACCAAAGATGGCATTATTCCTGTAAGTCTCTCATTTTCTCTGCTTGAATCTGTGTGCGCCACTCCTCTTCTTTCATTGCTCTCATCATATGTGGCTTGATTCGCGCATGGATCCTCGTTCGCACTTGTCTTGCGTCTTTTGTTTGCAGAAGGATGTGGCTGCCGAAGCCTTGAAGTCGCTAGAAATGTGCGACGAGAACAAGGACGAGCTTAGTGCCTTGGGCAACTCTTTTTTGAGATCCTAACCTTCTCCCACAATCAATTCATCACCACTGATTTGTGCAAATTGTACAGTGTTCTTATCGCGTGTGTACCACCACAGTGCTTTTATCGCGTCGATTGATGTTCCCCATTCATCTCTTGACTTCCCCCGGCTCACCCCCCCAACACCCCGCTCTCGACCCCCGCTCGACTGCCGTCGGCCTCTTTCCCCGTAGCTCAGGACAGGAATGAAACTCAAATCCAGAAATCTACGGAAATTCAAATCCTGCCACATTTTGCATTCCTTACACCATTCCTTGCAGTTCCTTGTCTGACCTCATCAAACTAGTCACCACCAATTTCCCGCCATGGCTCGCGGTGCACGCGCGAGTCCATTGCTATGGGCGGCCGTCGCGGCACTCGTGCTACTCGGATCAACAGCGGCGGCGGCGGCGGAGGAGGGCGATCACACGTTCAGCGCGAGCGTGGTGAAACTGACGGACGCCAACTTCAAGCGGAAGACCAAAGGCCACACCTTCGTCATGTTCTACGCCGAATGGTCCGCCGCCGCTGCCGCCCACGCCATGGATCTCCCTCGCGCTAATAATACGCACCACTACGTGGCTTCATTACCACATTGCATTTTGCTTCGCGGCTCGCCCTTCCGGCCCCGCATCCCCTTTATTTGTGCCGATAATCCGGGGCGCTGCAAGCAGCTCATTCCCGCACGATGATCCATCGCACTCTCCCGTTCTCTCCCGCGACCCCCTTCAATCCCCACGCGCACGTCGCACCGTCTCCACCTCCCTTCCTTCCCCAACACCCCCACCCCCTTCCCCTCCCCTCCCCAGGTGCGGGCACTGCAAACGGCTGATCCCCACGTGGTCGCAGCTCGCGGACGAGCTCAAGGAGGCGGGGCGCGCTGACGTCAGCATGGCGTCGCTGCTGGCGACGGAGCACCGCGCGCACCCCGCGGCGAAGCTCGTGCGCGGCTTCCCCACGCTCATCTGGTTCCACGCCGGGCGCCCCGTCGCGCAGTACGAGGTGAGCCTGGGGGGGATGGGGAGGAGGGGTGAAGGGAGGAAGAGGGGAGAGGGAAAGTTGGGGGGGAGGGGAGTAGCACGGGGCACCGCGCCATGAGGGGCGCTGGGGCGGCGTAGGGGATGCGCGGGCACGCGCGGGCGCTTCAGACGCGTCCCCCTTAGCGCTCGCTGCAGCATTTTCCGGCTCTGCTTCCGTGCACCCCCCTTCCAGTGCGCGCACCTTTCCGTGTGCGCATTCACGCGCCTCCCTCTGCTCCCTTTACCCGCATTTGCGCCCCCTTTCACTTCCTTCTAGCCCCCCAGGCCCCCCCGACTCCGCTACTCTCTCCGCCCCATCCACGCCCTTCCTATCTCTCACCCATTTCTCACTCCCGCTCTCCAACCTCCTTCATTCCCCATGCTCAATCTTTTCCCATCTCTCACTCCCACTCCCCTCCCCTCGCCCGCCCCTTTCCTTCTCCCCCCCGGCGCGCCCCCAGGGGGACAGGTCGCGGGAGTCGCTGCAGGCGTTCATAGAGGAGCAGGCGCAGCTGGGGGAGGCGGACCTGGCGGAGGGCGCGCGGCGCATAGAGGCGGAGGCGCGGCGGGCGGAGGAGGAGGCGCAGCGCGCGGAGGAGGGGAAGGGCGCGGAGCCCACGTTCAGTGAGAGCGTGGTGGAGCTCACTGATGGAAACTTCCAGGAAAAGACCCGCGGACACACCTTCGTCATGTTCCACGCGGAATGGTGGGTGCAGCTCATCTCATCTCACCTCCTGCCTGCCGTCAGCTCAACACTTAACTCTCAGCTCTCAACTTCCCCCTCTCGTGGCTCTGCGTTATCACAGTGTCCCCCTCGCCACCCTTCTCCCCTGCTCCTCTGCTTTCCGCCCCTTCACCCCACTTCTTCTGAGACCCCTCCTCTCCTGATCCTTTCCCTTTCCCCCAAACCATCTCTCCCCACCCTCTCCCCCCCCCCCCCGTCCCCCCACGCCCTCTCCCCCCAGGTGCGGGCACTGCAAGCGGCTGATCCCGGTGTGGTCGCAGCTGGCGGACGAGCTGCAGCAGGCGGGGCGGGCGGGCGTGGGGGTGGCGGCGCTGCTGGCCACGCAGCACCAGAAGCACCCCGCCGTGGGCTTCATCCAGGGCTTCCCCACTCTCATCTGGTTCCACGGGGGGCAGATGGTCGCTGAATACTCGGTGAGAAACAAGTTATGCCGTGCTCATGCTCTTGATCTTGCTTGTGCTCATGCCCCTCCATCCTAGCCTCCTCCTCACCCCTTCCTCTCTCCCCTCCCCCACTCCGATCCTCTCGCCTCCCTCTCACCCGCCTTCTTCCCTTCTCCCTCCACACCACCCCACCCCTCCCCCTTCCTCCCACTCCAGGGCGATCGCAGCATGGCATCGCTGCGTGCCTTCGTGGAGGAGCAGGGCGCGCTGCAGGGGGCAGCCCTGGCGCGCGCCAAGAAGGACATGAAGGCCGCCGTGGAGCGCAAGATCCGCGAGCGCCAGGACGAGCAGCAGCGCGCCGCCCAGGAGCAGCGCCGCATCGAGACGGAGTTCGCCGCCCGGGTGCCGGAAATCAGCCTGAGCGACCCGAGCAGGGTGGAGGGGCAGGCGGTGGTGGTGCTGCACTATGCGGACTGGTGCCACGCGTGCGGCTCCATGAAGACTGTGCTGCTGGACTTGCTATCAGACCCCCCCGTGGAGGGGCTTGTGGTGGGGCGGTTCAAGGACCCCCAGGCAGGGCTGCTTGCTGCTGGTAACACGCTGCGTAATGGACAGCCCACGACGTTTTTTGTGAGCGGTGGGCGGATTGTGGATGCGTTGAAAGGGGTGAAGAAGGGTGAGGAGGTGCGGGAGTGGGTGAGGGAGCTGGGGGAGTTGAGTGAAGAGGAGGTGGAGGAGAGGGGGAGGGAGTGGAGGGAGGGCGTGGAGGAGGAGGTGGAGAGGTTGCAGCGTGAGGAGAGGGAGAAGATTCAGGAGGAGGTGAGGAGGAAGGAGGAGGAGAAGAGGAGGGCGAAGCTGCAGAAGCGGAGGGAGAAGACCAGGTGGGCGGCGTGAGGAGGATAGGGGGGTGTGGATGGAGATTGATGGGAAGTGTTCGAGCTGGTAGGAAGTGGAGGGCTTTTGGAGGTTTTGTTGGTCCGTTAGGAAATGGCAAGGATTTCTGAATGGGGTAACCATAAGCACAATGTGTTGCTTAAAGAGCAAAATGTTTTGATACCTGAACTCTAGGTAGTTTAAAACTACACACAAAACTTATTCAAATGTAACATCCGTACGTATCCCAGTGCCATCGCGTACAGTGTACTGTACAGCGCATAAGTGTGCGTCATTCAGGACCACCAGCTCAACTGGCGTGGTGAGTGAGCGAGCGAGCGCGTGCTGTGGTGCACTGTGCTGGTGGTGCGTGCACAAGGGGCCAACTATAACATGCAAATTATTCTGGTAACCCTATCCGATGGTATGCAAAACCGTCGATACCCTAGTTCTGCTGCGCAAGTTTGTCTGGTAGCGCCACTCAAAACACTGTGTAACAGCTGACGCAGCACAAAAAAGGAAGAAATATGAGATATAATCGGTGGCGTTTTCGATTTCGTATCTTCGTGGTTCTTACCGCGCCTCGTTTGGAGCCTAAAAAATATTCCTCCGGGCTACTATTTTCCGCTAAATGTGCACGATACATTTACGAAAAATCCATTGGAATGAAATAATACGGGGTCCATTTTGTAACAATATATTGCACCTAATATATTGCTACCGGGAAGTGTTAGGGCAGGGCTGAAAAACAATAAAACCCCTAGGGACCTGGACGCATTTCCGGGAGGGATCAACCCTAAACACGGGAAAGGACATTGTTTTCAGGGTTGATGCCTCCCTGACGCATCCCGTTCCGATTGGGTTTTATTTTTTTTCTTGGCCCGAAGAAATCACGTCTTAGTGCGAAGGCAGGCGCGGTAAGGATCAATGTGTGATTTAAAAACAAACACGTTATTAGGGCAGAATGTCAATACCTCCAAAACTGAGGTAAGACGGTTTTGCAAACCATCGGATAGGGTTACCAGACTAATTTGCATGTCTATGATGTTGGCCCGTGCACAAGAGTCACTCGCTCGCTCGCTTGCGCCCGACCAATCCCAGTTTTCGCCCGCCTACTCATCACCAACCAAACTCCTCGCCCGTCGCCCACGCGACAATTCGACGGACTGACATTTGATCGCTCTTATTTCTCGCTCTCCGCATTTCACGGTCGCCTCTGCTCAGCCTGGTCATTGCAGCCTGACGCGTCAGTTTTCGGTTAGGTTATTTAAACTTGTCGTACCGCGGCGTGGATGCGCTTCGGCTGCGATGACTCTCGCCGACACGACTCGACTGGTGGCTGGTGTGAACGACGATCAATGCGATGCCTGATGTGCGCGACTCTTAGCTAAGTGTCTGCTGCGGTTTTTAGTTTCGGAAATTGCCTTTAAATAACGAGCTAAGCGTTGCTTCAACGAGGGGGTTGTCGCGTCTGATCCTCTTTCCGAGCCGCCGGCAAACGACAGTCGACCGCCATCGGCGTCTGCATCTGCGCGCCCGCGCATCACCGACGCGCACTGAACAGCGACGCGCATTGAGGAGTGAGGCGCGGCGATGGGGTCGATAACAGCGGACGGCGATCATCTGCATCTGCGCGTGCCCAACGTGCCCGCCATTGTCGCCAAGAGCTTCCACGAGCGCGTCGCCGAGACCCAATCGCTGCTCTCCAATGTCGGCAGGTCAGACCACCGCGCCTTGCGCGGAACCGCGGGGTAGAGGTAGGTGCGACGCGCGAGATGCGTCGCCGCGGATCATCCAGTCGATTCTCCTCTTCATTTTTTAGTCGGCTTGACAATTATCTCTGTTCCCTCTCGCTCCCTTTCTTTCCGCCCTTTCCTCTCGTCCCCATGATTAAGGTTTTCTATAGTTCTTCGAAAACTCCCCTTCCCCGTCGGCACACACTACCCCTTTCCGCCTGTTTCCGCCATTTCCCCCTTCCCCGCACGCCACACGCGCCAACCCCCCTGCGGCCCCCCCCCGCCAGGCAAGCGAAGGCCATGGCGGAAAAATCGACGGCGCGCGAGCGCGTGATAGCGGCGGTGGCGGCGCTGCTGGGGGTGGCGCTCGTGGCGTTCAGCGTCGCGCTCTCGCTGCGCCCCCCGCCCTCCATCGTCGACGCGCCGCTATTTCTCGACACTCTATGCAAGCCCCTCCCTCCCTGCCCTGCTCTACCCTGCCCTGCCCTGCTTGTTCCCTTCCCTCCTCCCGCATCGCCAACCCCTTCCTCCTGTGAAAATCGTCATCTGCCACTCCCGTTCCCCTCATTCACACCCCCCGAAACCCCCTTCCTCTCCTTCCCCTCTTCCGCCCCAATACTTTCCCCCCCCCCTCCACCATGGCGTCATTCTTGATGACGTCACATGGCACACGTGGCACATCACGCGTCTCTCGCGCCAGCGGGAGTGCAGGACATCACGTGGCGCTGCTATGCGGACTACGAGATGCGCATCTCGCCGCTCTCCCGCCACGTCTCGCGCCCCTCCCTGCCCTTCCAGGTGCGCCCCTCCCTGCCCTTCCAGGTGCGCCCCTCCCTGCCCTTCCAGGTGCGCCCCTCCCTGCCCTTCCAGGTGCGCCCCTCCCTGCCCTTCCAGGTGCGCCCCTCCCTGCCCTTCCAGGTGCGCCCTGCCTTGGATCCCACCCTGCCCACCCACCCTGTGCTCCCAGTGCTAGTCCCGCGTCGTGCTTCTCCCCCTCACGCCCTCCTTCGTCCTCTCATTCAGTCCCCAACCCATGCATGCATTCGCCCGCCCATCCTTCCCCCAGCCCATAGCGTGCTGCCCGCACAGGTTTGTCCAATTCAGTGCATACCGCCTGACGGCCTCTGTGCCCAATGCCTGCCTGCCTTACACCGCTTGTGCTTCTCCCCCTCACGCCCTCAGTCGCCCACCCATTCATCCGCTTCGCCCCTTCTCTCCCTCCCCCAGCCCATAGCGCGCGGCCCACACGGGTTCATCCAGTTCAGCGCGTACCGCCTGTCGGCGCGCTCCTTCGCCATCGTGGGCTTTGGAGCGCACTTCCTCAAAGACCACCTGTGAGCCGCTGGGGCGCTGGGGGGGAGAGTGGGGGGGGGGGGGGGGGTGTGGGGTGCTGGGGAGGGGAGAATGTGGGGTGCTGTGGGGGAGAGGGGGGAATGTGAGGCGCTGGGGAAAATGTGGGAGGGTGCTTTCATTCGAGTCCATGGAGTGACGATGTGACTGTCTGGTGATGACCCCAATGGCCATTGCTCGCATGACCAATCGTGTGTGTGTGTGCATGGCATGGCATGGCATGGCATGGCATGGCGTGGCATGGCGTGGCATTGGCACCAGGGGCGAGTTGAAGTGTGTGTGGGCGGAGGGTGGCAATGCGAGCAGCACGGGCAGCAAGGGCGAGGCCAAGGTGGCGTATGGTGGGCTCAACGGGTGGGAAACCTACGATGCTGTGCTCATCAAGGTGCGTGCCTCATGCTTATCTAGCTGTGTGTCTCTCCACCTCGCCTCGCCTCGCCTCGCCTTGCCTTGCCTTGCCTCGCCTTGCCTTGCCTTGCCTCGCCTTGCCTTGCCTTGCCTCGCCTCACCTTGCCTTGCCTTGCCTCGCCTCGCCTTGTCTTTCCTTGCCTCACCTTGCCTTGTCTTGCCTTGCCTCACCTTGCCTTGCCTTGTCTTGCCTTGCCTCACCTCACCTTGCCTTGTCTTGCCTTGCCTCACCTTGCCTTGTCTTGCCTTGCCTCACCTTGCCTTGTCTTGCCTTGCCTCACCTTGCCTTGTCTTGCGTACTCATCCCGGGTGTCATCTTCCCTTCCCACCACAGTGGAGAATATCCTTCCCCAAAACAGATCCCACCTGCTTCATTGCATTGCATGTGAACGTGTTTCTAAATTTAAACCCCAAGCCCGTGAAACACCCCTTGCTGCCCACCCCTCTAACCCTCGCCCGCCTGCCGTCCCCCAGTGCGACTTTGAGGCGGCCACGGGCACCATGGGCGGGGATCTCTTTCTCACCGTCGCCGGGGAGGAGTTCAGAGCCTTCCGGTGCGTACCCTTGCATAGCCCTTCCGGTACCTCTAATAGCTCTTCTGGTTTTTTGAATAGCTCGTCTAGAACCTTTATCAATCACACCCTTTGTGCATACTCTTCCCTCGCTCCGAGCCTCCAATTTCTCCCACCGGTCCCACCGTCACACTCCCCACACCACCCTTCCTCAACCGCTCCACACCCCCCGCCTCCCCCCCTCTCTCCCCACCCAGCGAGGAGGAGGGCGAGGAGCATGTGATCGACCCCCCCAGGGAGGACGCCCTCCCGCACACCCTCGCCGTGTGCGCCGTGCGCCTGGCTCACGCGGTGCAGCCGCGGCCGATGTACGAGTGGCTGTCGTACCACTGGCACGTGGGCGTCTCCCTCTTCCGCCTTTACGACGCCGGCTCCATGGACGCGCACCTCGCTGCCGTGCTCGACCCCTGGCTCTCCAACCAGGTGTGTGTTCAGTCCACTCAAAATGTGTCATTCTCTCTCGCCTCGTCCGCTTGTGCGATGCCGGCTCGATGAACGCTCACCTCTCTCCTCTGTGCTCGACCCGTGGCTCGCCAACCAGACGGCACAGGTGATCCCCACGCGGCACCTGGCGCCCTTCCGCATGGAGAACGACGCGCACCCACTCAGCGCGCTGGACTGCCTGCACAGCACCGCCTTCCTCGCGCGCTGGGTCACCGTGCTCTCCCCTGACTCGTACCTCTTCGTGCCGCCGCCCGCCTCCATTCTCGAGTATCTCAAGCAGCATGAGGAGAGGTCGTGGTTGACAGTGGGCACGCAGGAGTGGTCGCCGGTGAAGTGCCGCGACGGGCTGCGCATGCAGCCGCCCGGCGTGTGGGAGGGGCGGCGGGAGGCGGCGCCATTTGCGGTGGAGTGGCTGGCGTTCCGGAGGAAGGATGCACAGTGCTCGGACGAGGGGGGGGACAAGGAGACGTGCATTGGGGAGGCGGGGCAGCGGTCGCACTTCACCAACCCC